GTATAACTTCCTTTTATGCAATGAAACGGCACACAGTGAGCTTTGCAAGTCGACAAAGTTTCAATAATACGATGGTGATCTTATTCAGACTGCACGCCTCCTGATACTTTAGAATGAAGTAAAAATGAGGGATGACGAGTCAGGGAAGCAAGACTTAATAAACCGAATTCTCTGCCATGTGTCAAGTCTAAGACAACAGATAAGTCTATGAAACATTCATTGCAATTAGGGTATTAGTCATGCAAAGATTTCTTAAATGATCTTAGCATCACTCCAGTTGTATTTACGTTGTTTTCCAGTTGCATTTAGGATTAATTTCTGTTATTTATTTAGAATAATGACTATAATGGTATATTTTGAAAGGGGTGTGGCCCAAGTAGAGCCTTATGTCTAGCAACACCCCGGTGCATACATATATTCAGTAAAAATTGTGAATAATAAAAAGCATAGTATTTAAGTACTCTTAAATACTATGCTTTTTATTATTCATAATTTTTATAACGTCATTGAAGCTTATTGCGGTTGAGTTTACATTGTTCCGCCACAAGATGGCGACAGAGGCCGCATAATAAAGGACACAAACTGATTTCTCAGCATAAAGTAATGACTGTAGAGCTGATCAGTAGTGAACTATGTCCCTCTCTGGCTCTGGCTCTTGAATTTTGTACTGAATTTGATGAGACGTGGAGTAAATCCTCTCTGCTTTTGTGGTGCAGGAATCTGAGTCTTGGAGCGAAGTCTGAATTCGCCATGGACAAGCATGTGACGTATCTGGACATCAAGACCAGGCAGGAGCTGATCGCGCTACTCAACGGAACCAGAAACACACCGGTGTGAGTATAAATACAGCACGGGATCCAGACGTCATCATGCCGAGTCTGATGACTCTTCAGATAAACACACGGATAAAGTAGTTCCGGCATGTTTCGAGAGCAGAGCATCGCAGCTCTGTATCAGTACGCTGATATGGATGAGTAATGAAATTGAGTCAGTATGCTGAGTAGAGTAATTAAATTCATTAGTAAAATACTATCTGTTAGAGACAAATTTGTACGAATATATAAATAAATACTCACACACACACACACACACACACACACACACACACACACACACACAGTAGTCAAAGTTGTTTTTCCAGATTGAAACGAGGGATCAGGATTGTCAGTGTCCATGTTATTTGGTGATTTAACATCCTGTCACGACCCCCTGGTTTGAGTCGCAACATGACAACAAAAGGATCTATATGCAACTTATTTAATAAACACAGAACAACAAATCAGGGAATATGTCTAGGGATAAATGAAGAAGATAAAGAACTTAATCACAACTAACTTTAACCACATGATATAAATAATACGAAACGAAAGCAGAATGATGGAGATGGTGTTAACATGAGGACGTGTAAGTAGCAGCACTGGTCCATCGGTGAGCAAGCAGGCAACCAATCAGAATCTGCCGCATCCAAACTGGAGTCCTGGGGTTGCCAAGGGTACGGGTGATCATGATGGTGGAGCGTGTGCTTTTGTCCTTGTTTTCTAATATGTGTGTTTAATGGTGTGTGTGTGTGTGTGTGTGTTCAGGCTGATAGAGCAAGTGTTTCCCTGCTTCATCCGAGCACCGAGCGACTCCAACGCCAAACCCATCGAGCAGCTTTACGAAGGTAACAGAGACTCTCTTCATGAACACCGACAAGTGTGGACAGTCTGAAAGTTTGGGCTGTTTTGACAGGTCATGCTCACGTTGAAAGCTTCTGTTGAGGTGTGAGAATGAAGCCGATGTCGTGTGTGATGATGTTCTCTGTCGCGTGTAAGAGATGTTGCACCCTCAGGTGTGTGATTTGTGTCCCAGGAGCACAAAGACACTCTATATCTTGGCCATTACGTGCATTTTGATGAAGATGAAGGATTCTTCTGTCATGGCAGAGTTATAGGAATGTGATTTGAGTATTGAAGTAAGCGGTGACTATAAGGTTAATGTCTAGTTGATGTTAGTAAAGGAGAATACTGTTGTTAGTTCATGTTACCAGACATTAGATTAAGCTGTGTTAACCATTATTGGGTTTTAAAAAGAGTAAATGTAGAACTATGATCAATACATGAAGTACAAGTGTTGTTGATTATTAGTTTATTTTAGTAAACACATGAAGCCTGAATGTAAAGTGTGACCAGGGTAGGGTAATATTGAGTGTATTTCTGTATATATCTTCCATTAGGAACTGTTCTCTGATCATTTCTTACATAAATGTAGATATAAAGTCAAATTTGTAATTAATAAATGCATTACTTGTATTGATTTTGAACCTTCAGATTGTCAAATAGTCTGAATATTGGCCAAATATTGTCTTGACAATAGAAATATAGTTTACCCTGTTTACAATGGATATATTAGAAGTGTGTGAAGTAGACGATGTTGATAAATAACACTGCTAGAATGAAATAAACACAGGTGAGACTGATCCTGCTAGTGGATTTGAAAGGATAATTAAATGATATGGCAG